ACTTCTTTCTATAGGGTTAGGTTAAAGTATCAAACAAAGATATGAGACATTTAAGTAAAAGATCACTGATACTATTGCCACCATTGATGAGTCTATGCTACAGCAAACATGGTAAGAAATCAAATACCATATTGATGTCCTTCATGCAACTAATGGTGTCCATATAAAGGTGTATTAAATTTGTTAAAAAAATTTCAATATCTACTTTTCATTTCATAACAGTTTTCACATATTTGTCTGTTCATTTGCTTTAGTAATAATTTTTTAAATTGTAAAGTGACTTTATTGATACCCTATGTGTGTATGCATATATAAATTTGTTGCAAAAAGTAAAAAAAAAATAAAAAAAAATTTGCAGAAAACAATTGCAGTAATGAAAACTTGGGAATACAAAATTTTAGGATTGTGGATGTTGATCCGACCTGGAATGATTTTAATTTGCTCACGGAGTTGGCCTAATTCTAAAATGGTACGCTATATTGGGCTATGATCTCTAGGAGTAAAGTTGAAAAAGTGTGACACACTGACATTCACACTTATGGTGTTCATATAGAAATGTATTAGTTAAAAAATCTTCAATATCAACTTTTCATTTTGTAACAGTTTCCACATATTTGTCTGTTCATTTGCTTTTGTAATAACTTTTTAAATTTTAAAGAGACATTATAGACGTCCCCGTATAAGAATGCCTACAGCATTAGGTACAAAGTTTTCATTGTTTATGTTAAAAAAAGAAATTATTACTCAGTTTCTTTTCTAAAACTATAAATGTCTGAATTTTTATTTTAAAGTTGTATCTAATATATAATAAATTATATTTATAAGTAAATTTGGGCAAAGTTTAACAGAAGTACACACAAAATAATAGTGTATTAAAATGACGTTTTTTCCTCATGAAACCACTCTTACTATATATACTCCCTCTTTTTGCAGGCACATTTGTTAAACTTTGCCATATTATTAAGTGAAGACATGTGACTTCATGTTGATGCAACCATGAGTTCAAGCGCCCTACGAGGCTGGCATCCCGCTCTCACCCCTTCACTATCGAAACTCCTAAATGTAGCCGTCTCTTCTACTCCAGTAGCTTCATGTCTTGCACCTCTCACCTGTGGAACTCCATTCTCTATTCCAGTTTCCCTGAGAGCTATAATCTCCAGCTATTCAAATGTAATGTCAATCGACATCTCCAGTTGCCTTGATCTATCCACTACCCTTCTCCTCATCCTTTCTTCTATCACTCCTATCTGATCTTGCTCCAAATTTTCTGTACCCCTTGCGTCCTAGTGGCTTCCCGCCTTACTTGGGGTGAAATGCTTAAAAAAAAAAAAACTCTTTTAGAACTATTCTGTCTATCCAATTTTGGTTTGAGTCAAACAGATACAGCTCTTGTCTGCTAAAATGTCAAAATGGAAATACCAGTTACAGTTATGTACCATGCATGCTACACGCTTAGGCGATCCTGTATGTTTCGATACATGACTGACGAGGCAGATTTTTTTTCCCTGCAACAGGTTGCCATTTATTTTTTTCCAGTAGACCAGTTGCCATCCAAGACCAGAGAACTCGATCTGTCCTGCTATTTACCCATAGCTGAGGGGAGAAGAAGAGGATTCATACTTTTCCCAAGGTCATTAGCACATAAGTGAATGTAATGGATTTGACTGGAATTCAAACTCAGCTCTCCAATTCCTCAATCCGAGCTGCTATCTATTACTCCACCCAGCCTCTGAAATACCACATTATGCCAAAAATTATTTCTTTATGAAAATTTCCTAGATGTTAATAGACAGACTTATTTGGCAGAAAACAATGTAGAAAATTGTTTCAGCAAACTTGAATCTTCATGCCCCCCCCCAAAAACAGAGTCAAACAGATGTTTTTTCCAATGATGCCGTTATTATTTTAACTACCTTCAACTCTTTGGCAATGTTTATTGCTTTCTTTTAACCATTTCACCCCAAGCAAGGCAATAAAGATGCGGGGGATTACTGAGTGTTAGAAAATATGAGAAAAATTATTATTAAGAAGAGAAGACAATAAAAGAACAAGAATTAAGAAGATAATGATTGACACTACATTTCAATTTTTAAAAAGCAATTGGAATTGGAATAAAAGCTAAACATATGAAAGTGATTCTTAAGAACTGAAAACAAAGCTAATAAACACTATTTATTAGATTATTCATTTACACTAATTATAATATTGTTTATTGGAATGGTTGGCACCAGCAATGAGAAGGCTAATTGTCAATTGATTCAAACTTTATAAAATGGTAAATAATAAGCATTTCCTTATAGTTTACATATTTTAATAATTTTGTAAATCTTTATAAATTTATGTTATAAAAAATCGTTTTCCTATTTATTTCTTTATAAATTGATAAATGATAAATATTGCATTAGTTTTAATGTTGTAAAGATAAAATTATTGTTGTAAATAAACAATCTAATAAATAATAATAAATTTTTGCTGTCAGTTCTCAAGAAAAAAAAATGTTTAAATACAGATGCTCTCAACTTTCTAAAATGAATTTGTGGAGCTAATGTAAGAAATGTCCAGAAAATGCATTTATTTCAAAATTTATAAGTACATTTAATTGTTATGTGTTTATTTAAATTTTCTTGTTCTATTGTTAACATTTTTATAAATCTATGAATAAAAAAAATTGGGCAATGTTTAATCTTTGTCCCTTCAAAAAAGTCTGTCAAAAGGATGGTTATTCCTTTGACACAGATTTTACTGGATGGACTTTTGATTCCCTCGGGAATGTTTATTTTTTAAAAAGCAACAATTAGAATTTCAATAAAACCCAAACATATGAAAGTGCATTTATACATTTTCTTTATTCTTGAGAATTGACAACAAAGATGTTAAATACTGTCTATCTATTAGATTGAACAAAAAACTTGTTTTCATAATAAATATTGCATTGTAGTTGGTTAACCTTTTTTGATAATTTTGTAATTTTTATAAATTTTGAATAAAAAAAATTTCTTTTCAAATTTCTTTATTTGTAAAAAATAAATAATAAATCTTTATAAATGGTAAATGTACTTGGTTCACATATTTTTATAATCTTGAAAATAAACATTGCTGAGGGAGTCAAAAGTGTATACAGTAATAGCGGTGTCAAGGGAATAACTGTCCTTTTGACACTGTTTTTTTGTGGCCACAAAATTTGAACATTACCAAAAATTGCTTTCATTGTTATTTCTTTATAATTTGGTAAATAAATATTGCATTGAATTTGGTTCAAATATTTTTATAATCTTGCAAATATATAAATAGTCTAATAATAAATTTGCCTTTCATCCAGTTCATGTTCTCTCAGTCTTTTGAACAAAAGAAGAGGTTATCCCTTGTTTTCTTGTTTAGGATTGGGTCTATGGTTCCTTCTAAAGTCTACTTCAATTCTATACTTCTAATGTCTCTGCCTAAATGTTAAAATTTTATTTACTATTTATTTATTTTTCCTCAATAAGGAGTGGATGGGTTTGTGTGTCATCCAGTTCACACCTCTTCCCATGTTTCTGGTTCCATCTAAAGCCTACTTCAGCTCAGTACTTCTTCACCTGAACTCAGAGCTTTTATTTGCTATTTATTTATTTTTTTTGTTTTCCTCAATAGTAGTAGATGGGTTTGCCTTTTCTCCGGTTCAAATGCATTCTCAATCTTTTTAGAGGTTTGTGTCTTGTTTCCTCTTTAGGATTGGGTTTCCAGTTCGTACATTCTTTTTCACACCTAATCACCCATTGCATCTTAGTGACATTATTGCCTTGTTTGGGGTGAATTGGTTAATATATATATATATATATATATATATATATTGCTTAGCATTTTTGTTGTTACTCTTCAAGAAAATGATATATAAATCCATTTTTATAACTTTGGGTTTATTTTCTTCTCATTGCTGGTGCCTCTTTGCCTACTGGTCTGTTGAACCAAGAAATGCATCCTCAATCTTTTTCGAGGTTTATGTTGTGATTCCTGTTTAGGATTGGGTTTCTGGTTCCTACATTCTTTTTCACGCCCAATCACTTAATACTTTGAATCAAGCTGAGCTTCTTGACTTGACGGTCGAACTCTCTGCTTTTGAGCAGAAAGGAACCTGGACGAGGTTCCGCTGAAGGGCAGAGTCTCGTTTGGGGAGAGTAACCTGCCCGATCTCGTTTATACGAGCATTTTTTGGCCGAGCCTATGGGCTCAGGAAACCCACGATAAACTCGGCCTTGTGCCACATGCAACCCTCGGGGGGGGGGGGGTAGATACCGAATCACCCATTACATCTTAGTGACATTATTGCCTTGTTCAGGGTGAATTGGTTAAAAAATATATATATATATATATATATATTGTTAAGCATTTTTGTTGTCACTCTTCAAGAAAATGATATATAAATCCATTTTTATAACTTTGGGTTTTATTAAGATTCTAAAATTGCTTTTTAAAACGATAAAAATTATTAAGGGATTATAGAGTAGTAGAAGGTAAAAACCGCACTTTTGACACCATATTTTTTGCAGGTAAATTTGTTAAACTTTTGCCTAAACTTGTTTCTTTATCAAGTTTTGTAATCTTAATATTTCTTGATGGCTATGTTATTTAGAAAGTGTTTTTTGTTCTTTAATTCTCAAATAAAGATAGACACTAGTATTTACACAGACAGGAATTACATCACAGCAAGCATCAATAGGGCCTTATCCACCCATTTACAGGATGACCTCGATGTTTCGAGGTGTCGGCTGTCTTCATCATTCTCATTTCCTGCAGGAAGAAACGTTGCAGATGCTGACCGCAGTCACCGCAAGCCGGTAAGTTAAAGCATCAAATATCAATTTCTCATTGCTGGTGCCTCTTTGCCTACTGGTCTATTGAACCAAGAATGTCCACTTACTTCCTGACAGACTCTTTTTGATTTCATCTTGAATGGATTAGACGTCTGGATCTGACAAAATCTGCAAGATTAAAAGTATAAATGAAGAAAGAAAAATGCATACCTCTTTGGCTTTCGAGGAGATATATCCACTGGTGGGCCTGGTGGGGGCATGTCCATTGGGAACATGTCAACCCACATCTCCAACTTCCCCTGAAATGAACAGAATATTTTTTATGGTTAATTACATTTATGGAAGCCATTTTATAATTATACTAAATAAAGAGTGACCTCCCCTTTTCTTAGCTAATTTGTATTCTGACAAACTGATGTATAACAGCAAGTCAGTGCTGTCACAGTGTAACTACATAGTTGTATTTTGCCCTTCCTTGGTAGACTCCATTATGTCTCAGGATAGGAAAACCAATACAAAATACACTTTTCTTTTTATTGTCCTTTTTTTCTTTGATTTGTCATGAGATGACCAAGAATTTGTTCAGTTAAAAATGACTATAGCCAACTTTAGCTGAGAAATGTATCAATTCTACTTTTTAGTTTTGACAAATAGTTCTCTTTGTAATGTTTTTGCTTTCTTTTGCTCCTGCTTTTAATAGTTTCTTGATGTGTTTGTTTTTCGTTCTTTTCTTTGTTCTGAAACAAAATATCATAACTCCACTGAGTCAAAGCAAAAAATAACAACACTTATTTTCAAATCTTTTGAGGGAAGAAAAATATTTTGTCATTTTTTTTTCTTATTTCTTTTTTTGTTTCCTTGTTTTTCTTGTCTGTTTTTTGTTCTTTTTTCTGATTTTGACCCAAAGTTCAACATTTGGTTAGCTTTGAAAGAATTTATAATTTCTTGCTGTTTATTTTTTAGAAATTCTTCTCAAGTCAGTTTATATAAATCTAAATTTTTGTGGCAAGGCATGGCATTGAAGCAGGGTAATCTTACAAGATTGATGGACTGGTGACTATAAAAAATGATTTTACAGGAAGAGAGAGAAAGAAAGTGTAGAAGAAGAGTAGAGGAGAATTAAATAGGGAAATGTAGAGGGCAATGAATATTGTAAAAGAGTAAAGGAAGAGGCGGAAAATATATATAAAAAGGGATAAACAAAACAGAACAAAATGAAAAAAAAATAAGCCGAGGCAAGAGAGAGACAATAAAAATGTTTTAAAGTTGAGGAAGAGACAAAAGAAACAATAGCAAATAGATGCAAAGAGAAAGAGAATAGAATGTAAGCATGAAAGTGAAAGTAGGAAAAATAATAGAAGAGATAGAAAATGGAAGTAAAACTAATAACACTAAAGACAGAAACTGAAAGTAAGACAAATAACCCTAAAAACAGAAAGTGAAAGTAAGACAAATAACCCTAAAGAGAGAAAGTGAAAGTAAGAAAAATAAGAATAAGGAGAGAAAGTGAAAGTAAGAGAATAAAACTGAAAAGGAAATATGAAACTGAAAAAAATAAAACAAAAGATAATAAAAGCAAAGGAATAATATCTGTTCCTATAAGAGAGAGGGATAACAACAGAGAAATGCATAAAAATAAAATCAAAGAGAAAATGAAAGTGAAAGTAAGAGAATAAAACCCAAGAGAGAAGGTGGAAGCATAAATTTGTGCAAATAAAAAGCTGAGCTTCACAAAGCAAAGAACAGTTTCCAATTGATTTGCAAATATTTGTCCTTTTTGGTTTCTATTTCAAAATTGACCTTTTTTTCAATTTTTTTCAATTCTTGTATTTTCTTTTCCTATTCTGTTTTAGCCATTCTAAATTTAGAAAATCAATTTCTGACCTGCTTACTATTATGCTTGTCTTTTTTATGGTGGCTGGCACCAGTGCTCTGTGCACTTTAACCCATTACTGACCCCTGGGAAAATGTTTAGTTCATATGAACTAGGTCATTAACTAACAAAATTGCATTGTGCAAATGTATCATTTACATATGTTGACAAGAGAAATGTTAATTTTACATTAATTTGTAAAAACTTTTTAAAAACAAAGGAGGGGAAATTTTAAAAATTAAAAAATGAAATTTGTTTTGTCAGTATTGCCAAAAGGACTCTTTTTAAACACTAAAGAGTAGCAGTTTTATTCAGCAATATAGTGAAATCAATAAATACATGACCTAAAAATTGTAATTAGCCTGTTTATCTATGCTTTAAGGAGGTTGGGAATTTGGTTTGTTTTTACAGCCTCAGTAGATTATTTAATGCTGACAAAATTTTTATTACTGGTAAAATTTTTTTAAAGATGTATTGATGGTAATTTTTTTTTTTAAATGTATTTCTGGTAATTTTTTTTTTAAATGTATTGCTGTAATTTTTTTTCCTTCAAAAATTTATTTCCTGGTAATAATTTTTTACAAAGAATTTCTGGTATTAAAACCTACTTTTACACTTTCATAGTATTTTGTCCCCACACATACACATACACACAGGGTGTATCAAAAATACTTTTACAAACTTTGGGGGCAAGTTCCTCATACCAAGCCAAGGACAAAAGTCCATATAAGCATACGTTCACAAATCCTTCATGTTTGAATTATTAAGTTTAAAGACTAGAGTAGATACTGTTAAATGTACAATCCAAGGTACAAACCAAAAATTCTTTTCAAATTTTGAGAGCAGATTCTTGACACCAAAACAAAGTAAAATGTCCATATAAACTTATGTCCAAAAGGCCACCATTGTACCTCAACATGGCAACTTATAACAAATGTTCAAAATGTCATCCACTTGCTTCTACACTTGCTGTCAGATCATTGAATGGTGGAACCTTTCAAATACTCTCACACAGTGTCAAATGGTTTCTCAGGTCACCATGACACACTGATGAAGCATTTCTGTATTATTAATGTCTGCTGCATAAAACCAATTGTTTTAGGTCGCCCCACAGATTAAAAAACCAAAGGATTGAGGTTGGAGAAATGTGCAGGCCATGGAATTGGTCCTTCCCGACCTATCCATATTTTATGGTAAATGTCAGCATGCATTATGAACAATGTAAATAAAATGTGCTGGAGCCCCATCATGCATGAACCACATGTGTCTTCATATTAGCAGGGGTACATCCTCTAGCAGCTCTGGAATTTTGTTCAAAATAAAGTCCCTGTAAACAGCTCCTGTAAGATGCGCTGGGAGAACATATAGATCTACCAGTCACCTACAATTCCAGCCCACACATTAATTGTAAACTCATTCTGTTATTTAGCCTGTATTGGGATTCTGATCCACCCAAAAATGTTGGTTGCATAAATTTGTTATTCCATCTCTTTCAAATGTTGTTTCATCTGTAAATAAGACTGAAGAGATAAACAAATGGATCGTCAGTTTGTGAAATAAACCATTGGCAAAAGTTCTCCAGTGGTGAGTGATCAGATCATGAAAGATACTGCACATGTTGCAAATGATATGGATAGAGGAGGTACTATGAAATGTATGACATTCTGGGGCCACTTGATGTGTGCTGATAGCTGGATCGTCCCCGACAGCTTGCAGAACATGTTCGTCATGGTCAAGAATATGAGCGAGTCTTCCTCAATCTATAGTTTGCAGTGCCACAGATTCTATTCCAAGAATGTGATTATAAACAGCAGCAAAGGTTGGATGACTTGGCTTTCATCCATCTGCAAATGCAATCTGATATAGCTGTGCAGCCTCACTGCCATTACCATTTGTGTAGCCATATATAAAAATCATACCTACTTGCTTACGATATAAATATCCTGCTATTGTTAAACAGAACACTTCTTAGTTAACTTGCTACTACACACCTTAAAAGTTTAAGACAGATTAGCCACAAATGTACATGAGTGACAAATGTAACCTAGTCTACATGGCAACCCAGTGCCATCTACTGTAAACTTTCTTTAAACTTAATAACTCAAAAGCTTTGTGGACACTTTTTTGCATATTTAGTTCTTATCCTTGTTTTGGTGTGGTTTAGTTTGGTTGTTTTGTTTTATGGCATATCAAAACCTCAATGGGTCATTTAATGCCAACAAAATATTTGAAATAGATTCATAGAGATAGTTTGGTAAAAAAGGTGTGTGTATATATATATATATATATATATATATATATATTTGAAACATTTTTCAAGTACTCATATTTTTAAGTACAATCACATGTATTGCTGGCAATATTTTTTTTTTCAAAAATGTATTGCTGGTAATATTTTTTTTTCTTCAAAAATTTATTTCTGGTAATAATTTTTTTACAAAGTATTTCTGGTATTAAAACCTATTTTTACACTTTTATAATGCTTTTTACCTCAGTTTCGGGGTTAAATATTTGCCCATAGCTGGGACCCTAACAAGTGCTACCACCCTGGGTCAGGGTGGACCTGGGAACACCAGCAATTAAGAGGTGGTTCCACACTCCACAAAGTCTCCTGATTAAAGGCCCGGTTGTCAGATGTAGTTTATCGTCTTACCCTGGACACGGATGTAGTTTTGGTGTGAGGAAAACCATCCCCAATGTCAAAATTATTTTTGATACACCCAATATATATATATATATATATATATATGATTGTGTATTTGGGCAGCAAACACTCTTTTATACCAGTTTCATTAAAAACGACTGACAAAATACTATGGCTAATTTTTTTTATTTAATTTTTCTTGTGTCCTTATAATTTTTTCTTTTCTGGCCATACATTATTTATATACAAATTATCTGAATGTTCTGTATGTCCAAGTGCTTTGACTGTACTTTTAGCCATTATCAAGGATGATTTTATTTTTTATTTTTAATTGAATGTATGGATATTTGCATGTATGTACCAAGGGTTATAGCAATGTTTTATTTTCTAAACATGGTCAGCACATTATAGCCGTGTTGGTAGTTGTTACTGAGTGTTGTCTTTTTCTTTTTTTTTATTAATAATGCTTTTTTATTATTAATAAATTTTAGCCTTTTTTTACATGTGGATGAGGCTATTATATCTGTATTATCAACGAGTATGTTGCAGATAGATTTTGATAGGTTTCCATGTGTATTTAAATGAGGCCTATTTGAGCTATTGTCAGTGAGATATAATGTGGGTCTTCTTGTTAGGCATGTTGTAATATATCCAATATAATTATTTATGAATTTAGTTTGATCAGAAACACAGTTCTTTATGGGGATTTGAAAATAGTATTGGTTCTCTGTAATTTTGATCTTGCAGGTGAGTTAGTGTTGATGATGATGAGGTTAATAATT